GGCTCATTTCAAAGGGGCCCGGGGGCCTCCCTCCGTAGTTTTCTTCAGGGCCCGGGGGCCTGGGAGAGCTTCGCCCAAATGCGGGGTCCCACGGGGCACCCGGAGGGATGGAGAGAGCTTCATGCAAGCACTGCCTACCTTCTGTCTGCCCGCTTTCTGTCCGGCCGGCCTTCTGAGGGGATGCCACTGGCCAGCACTTGTTTAACTCCTGCCCTCCCCCTCACAGTGACTCAGACCTGCCTTTACCTCTCTAACCGGTGGGCTGGCAGGTGGCAAGAGTCAAGATGAGAAATAATTGTGCCCCAAAGCCCGCCCTGAGTGCATGCCCCTCCCGGAGCTGGCCGCCAAAACCAGCAGAACCAGTCAGGCATCGTGACTCCCGTAGGAGCGCTGCCTGGCCCTCCAGCTGCCAGGGGTAGTGGGAGGGGCCCTCGGTGGGGGCCCTGCAGCCCTGCCTGGACTTTTCTCCGGGGAGGTGGGCACAGAGGAGCCTTCTCTGCACACCTCTGCTCAAGCTGGGGGAAGGGAGGGGTCCGAAACACCTGAAGTCCGAAGGGAAGCAGGTAGGGAGGAAGAAGGGGGCAGGGTGAGGCCCAGGGAGCGTGGAGGGGAGGGTGGAGGAGAGGAAGGAACGTGGGAGGGAGCGGCTGGGAGCGCTGCCAGCGGTGTTACAAGCAAAGGGTTTTATCGAACACAATATGCCCAGAAATAAAAGGGAGTGAAACAGAAACCCAGCAGCCGATAAGGCGGCAGTGGCGGCGGCAGTGGCGGCCGGGCAGCCCGGTATGGAATTACTGCAGTGACCTTGAGCCAGACCCTGTCAGGTGGAGGGAAGGACACTGAGAAGGCAGGGCCTGAGAGGCCAACTCAGAGCTGGGGGAGAGGGCAGGAGGGGCAGGAGGGCAGGGGAGGAGGGGGGGATCCACTGGGGGGAGGGTCAGGGGGCACCAAGGGCCAGCAGGGGGTGGGACCAGCTTGGGGAAGGGGGCAGGTGTCAGCTCTCACCTATATTAGGGTCCCAAGGGGAATGTTATAGCGGGGAGGGGGCTGCTCTTCCCAGGGCCAAGAGGACTGGGGGACCTAACAGGACTGAGGAGCAGGTGGCATCCCCAGAGTGAGGGTTCCGGGAGCTGGAAGGAACCCAGATGTCTAGAGTTTTTCCAATGTCTGTGGGTGCCCCACCAGTGCACACCCCCTCCCATCCTCTGTCTGCTAAGGCAGACTCTGGCCCCTGCCCCCATCAGGTCCAGCAAGCACAGTGCGGGGAGTGGCAGTGCCCTAACGCTTGCTGCTGGAGGGACAGGGTGGTGCCCTCTGGCTCTAAGCTTAGGTACTGGGGGCACTGGAGTTGGGTAGGGGATGCCCTAAGCCTAAAGGTGCATCGGGGCTGAGGAGAAGGGGTTGGTAGAGAGGAGCAGGAATCTATAGGGAATGCCACCAAAGATGCTAGTCCCAGGATGGGGAGCAAGCCCCCAGTCCTTCTTCCTGGGGGCAGCAGGGAGGGAGGGGCTGCAGGCAGGAGAGCCACTGGAGGCCCACCCTACCGCCCTGCCCTCATCACCCCTTTCCCCACAACCTGGGAGGGAGACTAAGCCCCAAACCTTCCATTAGGGCACCGCCGCTGCCAGGGAGGGGCCAGCTTACCTCTGGTGCAGGCTCCCTTGGTCCCTGCCCCGGGACCACAAGCAGCCTCTGCAATGACCCTCCAACCTGAACGGCAGGGGGACGGCACAGCTTCAGGAGCGACCCCAGAGCCATCCACCACCGACCCTTGTCCCGGAGACCCACCCTCTCCCAGGAGGCGCAGACCCCTCGGAAGGGCGAGGCAGGGTCCCCAGAATGGGCTGCAGCTCTGCCTCTTGTCGCTGGTCTCCTGGATGCCCAGCCTGCCGGCAGCACTCCGAAGGAAAGTTGCTCAGCTGGCCGGGCAGGTCTGCCTCAGCAGTAACAGGACACAGGAGGCAGCACAGGCGTGTTAACCCCTTCCTGCTGGCCGGGCAGCGGCACCTTCCGAGGTGGGTGGGAGGCTTGCCTGCTGCCAGTGCCCGGAGGGGAGGTGCTGCTTGAGAGCGAGAGCCTGTGCTGGTGGCCCGCTCCCACCCTGCAGCGAGTTAACCCTTCCCCTGCCTCCTCAACGGGAGACGGCCAGGGGGCTCCAACCCCCCCCCCCCCAGAAGGACCTTCCCGCGGGGCTGGCGTTTTTTGTAGTTAATGCCAGCTGTGGGCTCCCAGCTGGCCCTCTTGGCCATCCTGGCAGGGGCATCAGGACTCCAACAGAGAAGTGCTCTGCTCTCTCTAAACCTCCCCCTCTGCCTCAACGGAAGGAGGCTCAAGGCCCGCGAGGTCCTTCCTTAGCAGAAGCACCGAATGCAAAACCACGCGGGTGGGAGACTGTGGCCACCCCCTCAGCCTCCCACTCCCACCTCTGCTCCATCGGCACTTCGGGCAACAAGCCCACCATTAGCAGCGCTGTTTGTCAGACTCGGGGAGCCTGGGGCCCACTCCACACAGGGAGCCTGGCCAGAGAACAAGGATGGTACTGAGTCTGCGCTAACAGCACCTTTCTTCCCAAGAGCCCTCTCTTGCCCACTTCACATTTCTCCCAGCGAGGGGCGGAGGGTAAAGCCCAGAGGCCGGTTTGAAGGCAGAAAAGTGGCGCAAGGAGGCCAGAGGCTCTCAGTGGTTCTCAACCTTCCTAAGGCCGTGGCCCTTTAGTACAGTTCCTCCTGTTGTGGTGACCCCCAACCATAACATTATTTTCGTTGCTACTTCATCACGGTAATTCTGCTACTGTTATGAACCCTAATGTAAATATCTGATCTGCAGGATGTATTTTCAGGGGTCGCGACCCACAGGTTGAGAACCGCTGAGTCTAGCAGGTGCCAGCTTTCCTTCCTGTAGGACAGCGGTTCTCAACCTGTGGGTCGCAACCGCTTTGGGAGTAGAACGACCCTTTCACAGGGGTCGCCTGAGACCATCGGAAAACACATATATAATTACATATTGTTTTTGTGATTAATCGCTATGCCTTAATTATGTTCAATTTGTAACAATGAAATTGGGGGTCACCACAACATGAGGAACTGTATTAAAGGGTCGCGGCATTAGGAAGGTTGAGAACCACTGCGGTAGGATCACACGCTGAAATCCGGAACAGTAACCTCTGGCTGAGGACAAACGGATCCAGCCTCTAGGGGTGAAGAGGACGGCGAGCACGCCCTCAGACACTGGGACAGGGCCCTTGGCCCCAGCTGCAGTGGGAGGGTCTCGGGGAGCCAGGTCCCAGGGCGTCTAGTTTCCGAGTCTCATACATTGTCACACTTGGTGGTGACACTTGGGGAAGACCCGGCTCTGGAAAGCGCTACCCCAAACGTGTGGGGCAAGGAAGGCCAGGAGCAGGAACGAGGAGGGGTGATGCTATCTGTCCTACCATCTGCTCCATTCCTTCTCCTGCTACCCACGTGCTCTGAGGTTCATCACCCCACACATCACCTCCCCAGGTGCGTGCCTCTCTCTGCCTGTTGGGTGACCCCAGGAACTGAGACAGGGTGGGGTGGGGTAGGCCTGACGGCAGGTGGGACCACCTGGGAGGACCTGGGCCATGAGCTGCTTTCATCAAGGAGGCGGCATTCACGACATGAAGCCTGAGGGAAGTGGTAGGAACTTAAAGGTTCTTTATTGATTTGTTTGTTAACCAGTTGCCCAGAAGGCTGCTTGGGCACCTGAGTCAAGTGCAAGGACGCAAAGGCTGCTCAACGTCCCTTTGGGGGTTGAGCTCATCAGCCAGAACCATTAGGTCTGTCACCATGGTGTCCAGCAGCCCATAGACCTGGAAGAACAGGACAAACGTCACAGGCTACGGCTTGCTCTGTGGAAAACACCTCCGTGAGGCAGCACCCACTGTGCTACGAGGGTGGGCATGCTCACTCCACACTGAGAACAGCTCGAGGGGGGACAAGACCCGTGTGGTGAGAATTTCTGTAGAACTTTGGTTTTTGTAAGGAGTTGCATTTTTCAAACCAGTCGGGGCCCTGGGACGTATGGGGACACTGGGGCCCAGGATGGTCAAAGGGGCAATTCTTGGGGTCCGGGGAGCAGTGTCCATTTACTCCCTTGGGGTGGCCCAATCCTACTCTGGCCTCACAGGCGCCAACTTTCCTTCCTGTAAGATCACAGACCCACATACTGAAACGTTTCCAAAACTGTTCCCTAAGTGGGGCTGGACCACACACGCCTCAGCAAGTTGATTCTTAATTTCAGAAAGCTGAGAAAGGCCACCGCACGGGTCCTCAGAGACCTACGGTAACTTGCCTCCATCAGCCTTCAGACATCTCAGGGATGTCACCAGCAGCATATGGGGCTTCTGATCAAATGAGATCCAGGGTGTCCCCACAGTGCGGACATAATCCCAGCCACCCAGCTGTCCACGCCAGAGGAGGACAAAGCCTTGCCGTGAGACGGACAGACTGAATGTGGCTTTGTAGACCGCCCCCCTCCCCCCCCCCCCCCGAAACGAACAGCAACTGTAACTGCAAACCCAACGCAGCACATGGTGAGTTTCTCAGGGCCTCCTGCTTAAGAGGGCATTGCCATGAAGTCTCTCTGGGGTTTCAAAACCCGTATGCTTGCTAGAAATCCACTCAGCGTGGTGTTCCCCCCAAGGAACACGCCGGCCAAGATGCCCTCTGACACACTGAGTCTGTTTCCCCGTCAGACCATGTCCCTCTTCCATTCAAATCCCTGTATGGTTTCTCGTTTCACTCAGAAAAACCCCGAGTCCTCACATAGCCTACAAAGCCCCACATGACCTGCCCCCTCTTGGTGTGGTGGCCCCTCTGCCCCCTGTCCTCCTGGTTCCTCCCTCCCCTGGCATTCCGTTGCTCCCTCTCCCTAGGGCACTGCTCCTCAGGGGTCCACAGGACCTCCCCCATCTTCCTTCAAGTCTGTTTGATGTCACCTTTTCGATGAGCCCCCCCCCCCCCCCCCGCCCCGCTGGGCCTTTTGTCGTCCCCCTGGCTCTGGTCTGTTTCTCTCTTCCTCAGTGCTCATCGCCATTCACGAAGTCTGTCTCACACAATAGGCTGCCCCTCTCAAGGGCAGCGCCGCTTCCACTGTGGATGCAGTAGGCGCTTATCATTTGCAGAAGGAACGGGTGTGAGGGAGAGGAGGGCGGAGCCCTGGGCCGTGCCCTCACCTCCGTGTACATCCTCTGGGAGTATTTCTCCAGGACCAGGGGATCGATGGGCTCCTGAGATGCGACGATGATGTCGGGGGCAGGGTCCTCCACGTAGAGCCTGTCCCGACTGGAAGATTTCGCAGGTTTCTTGTCGTCCTTTGCCTTCAGCTTCTTGCTGTTCAGACGGTCCTGCTCGGAGAGAGGAGACACGCGTCGCCTTCGTGAGCTCCGGAGGGAGGTCCGGGGCCTGCTCCAGAACAGCCACTGCGAGAGCCCCGTGTGGCCCCGGGCCAGACCGTGTCCCGGAACCTGCCTCTTTCCCTGGCGTCTTGGCTGCTTTCTTATCTTCTTTATCTTTGATTCCCAACTGCTTCCTTTCCTGGGCCACCCCTTTCCGGTCCTCCTTCCCAGCTCTCCCGGAAGTCACCTTTGTCTCTATGGTGGAAGGCGTTTTCTGATCTGAGGGAGGGGAGTGGAAGACAGTATGGACTGTGGCCTGGCTGCGCCCATAGGCGGGAGTCAGGAAAAGCCCAGTGCTCTCGGCAGCCTGGAGAGAATTCCCACAGACGAGGAGCAGAGCCCCGGGTTCAGGGGTGGGTGGATGGCCCTGTGGAACGGGACTGTGGGGCAGGGGCAAGGGGCCTGCTTCTCGTCCCGGCTCCGCCGCTCCCGCATGGACGGGACGGGCAAACCCTTTAATCCTTCTGAGATTCCATCTGTAAAACGAGGGACGTGAACCCTGGTGATACTAAGGTCACTTCTGGGTTCCAAACCTTGGCAACAGATAAAAGGCGAGCAGGGGCCTACTCCATGGATCAACAGAGGTACCCCCAGAGGGTGTGCAGGGCGGAGGCAGCGGGACGGGGAAGACTGCGTGCAGGCAGGCGGCGAGGAGTCTGACCGAGCTCTTCCGGAATGTCCAGATAGATGGTCTCCTTCTCAGGCAGGCCCAGCAGAGCCCTCAGCCACAGGGAGCAGATCACCAGGCCGTCAATCACGTCCCGCCACAGCTGAAAACTAGAGGACAAGACACTGGAGAAAAGCCATCGCCCTTCATTTGCCCTGGAACCTGCAGAGGTTTCGATCCTTCTCTTCCAAGACACTGGTGCCAGGAGCTGCCAGGGACATGCCATGCCCCTGTCCAGCCAGCATCCTCACCAGCACCTGGGCGTTTGAAACTGTGGCTGGACCTTGATCGAGATTCCCAGCTCCAGGCTCCCAGTGATGTGTTCTGAGGGCCTTGCGAAAACTTATTCCCCACCCCCACCCCAAGCCTTTCCACACAAGTTCCAAATCGGCGACAGGAAGGCCGATAACCGAGAAGTGAGGCTTTCTGTGGAATACGCCCCTCTTCTCACCGCCCTCTGGCTTCTCCTCCGTTCATTCCTCTGCACGTTGAGAAGGAACAAAGGATGAGAAAAAAATGAAGGTCCAGGTGCTTGCTCCGCTGTAACGGCTCCGCAGGGAGCAGCAGGTGGCTGCAGGGGCGGCTGCGGCAGGTGCCGAGCACGGACTGTGGGAGCATCTTTCGGCGGCCTGAGCTCAGGGGAGCTCCGCACCCTTGCATGCTGGGACTGCCTGTGTAGCACCCTGGCCCGATGCCACGAAGGGGAGGAGATGAGGCTGGCTCGCCCGGTGGGGCACCTACCACATCTGGTACAGGAAGTCAGACTGCAGTGGCCTCTGTCCCTGGCACAGCTCCAGGGCTGCTTTGTTGAGCCTGATGAGGGCATCTTCTCTCTGGTTCTCCTCGGGAAGCATCATCACTTCCTGGCAGGGTCACGGGTACCATGAGCAACCCTTGTGCCCGGGACACCAAGGGTCCCGTGTCCTCTAGTGACAGGGGTGGTGCTGTGAGGACAGGGGTGCGGGAGGCGATGTAGCCATGGGGAACCTGTCTGGGGTTGCCTTCTGTGGGAGCCTGGGGCCTCCTTCAGAAATCTGTTCCCACGAATCCCTTTTGCAAGGTTTGCCAGGATCAGAGAGGGAGCCCCCCCTCTGGCACCACAGGGGCCTAGCCCCCTGAGACAGAAAGAGATGACCCCCGAGACGGCTCTCTCCGGGCCCTCAGGAGGTTTTCTTTCTGGGCTCGTGGGGGCAAGAGGCACTGCTGGGGCCCTCCCTCACCCCGCTGCGCCAGAGCTGTTTTCCCCGCCCACGCCTTCAGCGTCAGGGACCCACCTCCCTGAAGTCCTCCAGGCAGAAGTTCCACTCGGGCGGCGGGAGGCCCGCCTGCTCCCAGGGGCTCTTGGTGCTGTCCCCGTCCCGGCTGCCCTCCACCAGGATCTCCTCCATGATGCTCTTCCACGGAGAAGTCTTGGCCCCTACTCGGACCCTCTGGGGCCTGAAACCATCTTGGGATTCCTTGAAGTACGCATTCTCCTGCTGGGGCTCCAAGGCGGAGCCCTTAGGGTAGGTCAAAGAGTCCACCTGCACCGGGGACTTGTTCAGATAGCCTGGCTGGGTCCTGGCTGCCCAGGCCCGGAGGCCCGCGTGCTCGTCGTCGTTTGGCCTGCCTTCCTCGGCCTTGTAGGGCAGGACCATGTACTGGTGCCACAGTATATGCAGGTTTTGCACTACTTGGTGCTGGTAATGCAGCTGCAGCAGAGGCAAGGGAAGACACGTGACGGGGAGGCTGGGCTGGGGGGGGGATGGGGGCACCCAGAGCCCGTGGACCGGGGCCGGTTTCCCCATTCCCTGAAGAGCACGGATGGAGGAGGCAGGGAAGGGACCAGCAGGAGTGGCTCTAGCCAGAGGATGTCCCCTCTTCCCCCGCAACCTGAGCATCTCCAACTTCAAGCGTTTTTTTGCATGTGAGCTTCCAAGTAACGTTGGGTTTGAACGAAGGAGTTGGTGAAGCTGTTCTCACCAAGCATCCACTTAGGAGCTACGTGATCTTGGGCAAATTACTTAACCTCCCTCGGCCACCATTTCCCCCAGGTAACATCGGATAGAAATAGTGCCCATCTCCATGGGGACATGGAACGGACTGACGAGTCTCAGAGGGGAGGGGGTGAAGAGATTAAAGATCTTATGTGCACATATGCATTACCGATGGGCACACACAATAGGGTGGTGAAGGCCGGGGGCAGGGCAGGAACTGGGTGGACAGGGGCAGTGGTGAGGGGGGGAGGGGGACACCTGTAATACTCTCAACAATAAAGTTTTTTTTTTAGAAAAAAGTAGTGCCCATCTCACAGGTCTGCTGGGAAGTGAAGTGAGTTTCTCATGGAAGATGCTCAGCACAGGTCCTGGCGCATGGGGGGCGGGGGGAGGGGTTGCTATTCCTCCCACCCAGGGCACTCACAGGGGCGGGGGCCAGTGCGGGGCTGTACCTGGGGGTTCCTGTGGTAGAACAAGTCCTCCTCCGTGAGGTAGGCGTCCACGGGCGACGGCACGCGCTCGGGGGTCAGGATGCCGCCCAGCAGCTCCTGCAGTATGCTCTGCGCGATGGTGACCGCCTCGTGGGAGGCCAGCTCCTTCTGGGGGAGGAAAGGTGGCACGAGACGACAGCTCAGGCCTTCGAAACCCATGCTGCAGCCCGAGGGGAGCCAGGTCCCTCGGGGCTCTGTGCCTTCCTAGGGGTTGAGTTCCTGCCATTGTCACACACACACACACACACACACACACACGCACGCGCACACAACTATTCCCAGACTCAAAACTCCCTGGGTCTCCCCAAACATCCTTGCTCCCTAAAAGAGGCTGAAAAGACCCCGAGGAGGAACCGGTCCCAGAGAAGTTGCTCCCTCGAGGGGCCAGGAGGTCCGGCGGCATTTCCCATAGATTAGGAAGGCCAGGCAGGGCCAGGGGCAGCACGGTTCGGGCCCTGCTGAGCATGTGAGTTGGCCACACAGCCAGTATCACAGAAACAGGCTCATCTCGAGAGAGGCCAGTCCTAGACCAGCGAACAAAACAGACACTGCATGTGTCAAGATTATCTCTGATCGCCGCAGGCTGAGCCCTGGCCGAAGCAGCCGGGTCGTGTTTGGGGACCACAGTGAACAGAAAAGCACAGCTTTCCAGGGAACCCCACAAAGAGCAACACTGGGCGGCCAGGCGATGGACGCGGTGGGGGCCCAGCAGATGCCCAGTTCCCACCTCACACTCACTCCTGGGTGCCGGCCCCCCTGCCTCCTGGGCAAATTGCTCTCTGTGGTTTTGAAGTCTTGCCAGTTAAAGGCAACTCCACTGGAGGGTACCAAACAGCAGGGGACAAAAACAGTACCCGGGGGAGGGTCGTTCCTTGGGTCTGTGCTCAAGTACTTCCACGCAGTCTGCACCTGAAGGCCCAGTCTCATCTCTTCCTGGCGGTGGGAGCCAGGGATGGTGGGGCTCGAAACCGCCCCACTCTTGCCTGCCCACCCATCTTTTACCTCACCAAGTCCTGGGAGGTGGTCTGTTGAGCAAGACTGGCCGAGAGAAACAAGACCCCTGCAGGCAGTGCTAGGAAGGACGCCAGAGGGACCTAGCTGATGTCCACGCGGGGCCGAGGCCCGGGCTCCCTTACCTCCAGTAACGTCCTCTCATCCCTATAAATGTCCTGGGCCAGGGAGACGGCGTGGAGATTGACCTGCAGGACGGCACCCCCTAACAGGGTGGGGTGAGTTCCAAACTCCCAAAATTCCCGGAAGATCCCGGCATTCACAGACTTGAAGAAGAAGGTGAAGGTCTTCGTTTCTCTAGGCAGAATCACACCTGAGGGGGCAGAGACAGAGGTGTGCACCGAGAAGGGGCTCTCTGAGCCCCACGCCTGCGTGTCCGCAGGTGGCTGGGCCCTAAGCCTCTGGGGATACGTGTAACTGAGCCCCAGGCAGGGTGACCCACCGTCCAGCTTTGCCCTGGGAGGAGGGCTTTCCTGGGTTGGGGGGACTTTCAGTGCTGAAACGGGAAAGCCCCCGGAAGCAGGCGCAGCTGGTCCTCCCAGCCTCAGGTCTGTGCAATGTACCTGAACCCCTAGAATGCCCCCCCTCCCCCGGGGCTCACCTCCCTGCCCCCAACAGACATGAAAAGTTGGGAGATAACACGCGTCACGGAGGAAACAGAAGGGAGGAGGCAGGGAAGAGGGGTTTGAACTCGCTAGACGTCAGCTTCTGGACATCAAGGTGGGTGGGGCCGCGTCTCCTAGGTACCTTCCCGGTTATTAAAGTAAAACTGCTGTGTCCTGTCTCTCTTCAGGTCTTGGAAAGCGTCCGGCTGGACCTGCCGCCGCCAGTCATACCAAATGGCCACGGTGCCATTATTGACCACGGTCAGTTCCGAAGACGTTTTCTCCCTTTCCACAGTTTCAAAGGTCAGGCGGACAGCGATGCCGATCTGCTTCTGCAGGAGGAGGAGGCCTGAGACACGTCTCTGAGGGAGGCCCTGGCCCGGGGGGTTCAACTCATCCCGGTTTGCCAGGGACTTTTCTGGGTCTGGCGCTGAGTGCCCCCTTGTCCCCGGCCTCCGGGGCCTGGCTGCTCTCAGACAGAGGCGTGTCCTACCCCGAGAGCGGCTGTCCCCGAGGTGCCATCGACGGTGGGATGAGAGAACAAAACAGATGTTCTACCTGATGGACATGTCTGCTCCTCAGCACCCACAGAATACTGTAGAAGCTTCTCAGAGCCATGCCCAAGGGGAAAAGTTTGCTTACATACATTCTTGGGGACTAGGCGCCAACGGGGATGGCTTGTGACTCTCCTTTCGGCCTTGTGATTTTTTCTGGGTCGAGCCAGCACTGCTGTTACCATTTTCAGACATGCTGAGTGCAAGGCCAGGTACAAATGCACGTAGGAGGCGGCAGGCTCCTTGTGACGGCCGGTCACCTTGAGACTGGCCCCAAGGGAGGCCCATCCGGACGGCAGATGGGTGAGGGCGAAGGCAGGCTTACCTTGTCCTGCGGGTTACTGCCTCGGATCCAGCAGGCCGGCTTCCCGCAGAACAGCAGAGAAGGGCCGAGAATAGGCATGGGGGCCGTCTCCTGGTAACGGGTCAATAAATCTCTGTAAGGAAAACCAATCGTGTGTTTTCCCCGAGGCAAGGAGGCTGCCATCGTCTTGCCGCATGGAGCCCCCAGCAGTGGCTGCCAGCTCGGCCCTCCCCCGGGGCGTCATCAGCTTCCCCGGAGCCTGGCCTTGCCCGGCTCCCTTCCTGCAGGCGGGAGGTTCTGGGACACACAGCGCTGCTTGTCACTGAGGCACGGAACCGCAGGTGCGCCCCCTTACCAGCGAAGGAATGTCTGGGAAATCCCCCTTAGGAGCTGGTTGCTAGGAGGGAGCAGATGGCCACGGGGAAGCGAGCACAGGTGCTGGAATGGGCTAGAGCGGGGAGCGGCAGCATCGGAGAGGAGCCCCGCTCCCCAAACTCTCTCCCCAGGGCCCAGGCCGACTCACGCATTCCTTAGGTCTCCAGAGGAACTTCTCTGGCTCTTTTCAAACACTAAAAAGTCTTTCACTGTAACCGTTGAGAAAGGCTGCCCTCTGCCCACCACCTCCAGGCCATCAATATCCTCAGAGAGACCAAGAAAGGAAAGATGAGCTGACTGAAGACAGGTGCCCCGCTCAGGGGCCTCGGACAGGGCCCGGAGACAGGACCAACCTGCTGGCTGAAGCCTAGCTTCGCCATGATGCGCTGCAGCTCCTTGCGGCGGTAGATGAGGAACAGACTCCGGTCCCAGGTGTAGCGGTACCGCGCGTCCTTCCGGGCCAGCAATCCTGCCGCAGGGTCCGAGGACCCTCAGTGCAGGCCGCTGCCGTGGCCCCTTCCCCTCAGTCTCAAGAACTCTGAACACACCCTTCCCAGCACCATTTCTAGGAGATGGGGGTGAGGCGGGTTTGGGCGGGGGGGGGGGGGGGGGCGCGGGGAGATATGGCTTCCCTGCGCAGCGGGGCTCCAGTCCTCCTGCCCCATTCCTACACCTTGGCCACCCTACACAGGACTCCTGCAAAATGAGCTCCCAAACCAGCACATCTTCGGATGATAACGCATAAAAACAGCAGCAGCTACTTTTACTGAGTGCTTAGCAGCGGGCCAGAAACTCTTAATAAACACCATGCTTCATTTCACCCTCTCACAACCTCGCCAGTGTTTCACAGATGTGGACACGGGGGGGCCAGAGAGGCCAAACAGCTTGCTCTGAACCCTGGCAGCCCTTAATGCAGCGCTACCCAATAGACACAGCACGCAAGCCACAAATGAGAGGCACGTAATTTAAAATTGCCTAGATCGGTGGTCAGCAAACTGCAGCTTGCGAGCCACATGCGGCTCTTTGGCCCCTTGAGTGTGGCTCTTCCACAAAATACCGACTTCTGCTCATGGGCCACGAAGTTTCAATCGCACTGTACGTGTGCGCCCGCACGTGGTATTTTGTGGAAGAGCCATACTCAAGGGGCCAAAGAGCCGCATGTGGCTCACGAGCCGCAGTCTGCCGACCACTGGCCTAGATGGTTGGAAAAGATAGACAGAAACAGGGGGAATTCATTTCCATTTAACCCAATGCATCAAAAATATTATCATTTCAACATGTAATCCGTATTAAAATTATTAATAAGACTAGCCCAGTGCATGAATTCGTGCATGGGTGGGGTTCCTTGGCCTGGCCAGTGATCAGGGCCAATCGGGGCCACGGGAGGTTGTCTGGCTTGGGGGAGGGGCTGCAGGAGGTTGGCCAGCTGACCCGATCAGGGCCATGGGGCCGGCCGGCCAGGGGAGGGGGAGGGGCCGTGAAAGGTTGGCTGTGGGAGAGCACTGACCACGGGGGGGGGGGGGGGGGGGGGGAAGCTCCTGTGTTGAGTGTCTGCCCCTGGTGGTCAGTGTGCATCATAGCGACCTGTTGACCAGTTGTTCTGTCATTCGGTTGCTTAGGCTTTTATATATACAGGCATTTCTCGTATGAATCAGTACATAGTTTACACTTACATCTCATTCCATGTGCTCAGCGGCCACCGTGGTTCACGCCTGCCAGGCTGCCGCACAGCCCTAGAGCCTCCATCTCACTCCCTTCCGCCCCCTCTTCCATCTATCACTGTCTAAATGAAGTGGGGACTGGACCTCCGGAGGGTTAGGGGACTTGATCCCTGGTCGGTGCCATACCAGGGCCACACTGTCTGCCTCCCTCCCTGCCCCCCCAGGTGCCCCGCTCCTCACCCATCTCCTTCTGGATGGAGTACGGCTTCCTGATGCGAGTGATGGGCTCCAGGAGGCCGCGCTGACTTTTTGTCTTCGTTATGACCAGACCCCTCATTTCATCCCCCAAGTATTCCAGTCGACTCCAGAACCCACTGGACTCCTCAGAGCACTGGCAAGGATGGGCAGACAAAGTCAGGTCACCTGGACACCTTGGCGAGGGGCTGCTGGGGGGCCCGGGAGACGGGGCACCGCGGACGACAGACGCTCGCTCTGGGGGCTCGCTGCAGCCGGGAGAGCAGGAGAAGCAAGTGCTTTCTTGTTCTCAGGACGCCCTTCGATAGCCTTTTCCTGGCCCCAGACAGCGTGGGTGGCGCGGCCACTGCACTCGCACACCAGACACAACAGGGGACCCTGGATGGTCCAGAAGCTGGGGTCTCGGCCTTCGAGAGGGAACACTAAGACAGTTTTAAGAACTCAGGGCCTGTGCTGTCTTGCTCCTCACATTCACCACCACAGGCTGGATTAGGTAACTGACTGGTCCCTGAACGCCCAATAATAGGACCAATAATGTCATTTTACTAAAGGCCCTGAGGGCTTAACGCTGCTTTGCAGTGGATAGATTTGTTACGTTTCCCCGCTGTGCACGCCAAGGCAGCCATCCGCGTCCAGACCCCCTCCTCACGGGGCACGCGGGAGCACCGTCCTTACCTTCCCATCATGCTGCGTGGGCAAGATTCGGTCAATGACCGCCCGCTCCTCCTGGATCTGTCTGTAGGTCTCCCCGATGTGCATCAGCAGCTCGCCGACAGGTTTCTTCAGGAGTCCTAGAGAGAAGAGCCGAGAATGCAGCCCCTCCACCGAATCGCAGCAAACAGGGGCCCAGCACTCAGCACCGGCCAGCCCCATCCCTGACTGATCCCAGGACCCGCCAAGGGAGAGACACTGGGGAGTGAGTGAACGGCAGGCACCACACGCTCAGCCCGAGGCCGTCACTGGACGGGCGCAGGGAGAGAAGACGCCGGGCAGCAGGGCCTGGGTGCCGGGTGGGCCCGGCGGGCGCCCATCCTCTCTGCTCACTGCTGAGGGCCTCCTGCTGCCTCTTCCACAGGGCCAGGTTGCGCTGCCAGTTTTTCATAAAGTTGTGCTGGGGAGGTGGGGCCCAGGGAGGTGGCTTCTCCTCTTTGGGGGCTTCCTGCTTCGGCTCTTCTGCAGCTGGGTCGAGGGTCATCAGGCAGGGTGGGGTGTGGATCAGCTCAGCCAGCTGAAAAGCACAGGGTGCGCGTGGAGGGTGGTGAGAGGCGCTGCGCTGGGGCTGAGCCGAGACCTCTCTAGGCCTACATCCCTGCTGTCCGCCCCACTCTGCTGAGGATCCCGCCTCTTCAGGAGCCAAAGGTTGGGAGTGACAGAAAACAGGTCCCAGAACCGGGGGGGGGGGGGGGGGGGCCTTGGAAATGGCTGCCAGTCTCCTCCCCCCCCAGAATGGGGACCTCGTGCTGAGGCTGTGTCCCAAAGCTTTCCGTGTGTCTGTCTTCCCACGGATGCTCATGGACCCCCGCCCCTGCAGGGTGACTGAGTCCTTTTTAGATGACCCCAGGCTAGCCCCTGGCCAATGAGATTCTTAGTTGGGAACCAGGGAAGCGAAGGAGCCGAGACAGCGAGCAGCACCGCATGCTGGGAAAGTCAGACACACACAGGCCCTTTGTGTGGCCCCGGAGCTGGGGACGGAGGAGCACAGGCCAGTGTTTGGAGAAGGGAAAACGGAGCCGGTGCACAGGGGAGCAGAAGGCGGTCAGGGAGCACAGGCCCGGAACCCTGATGCCTTTCTGGGTTCAGTCTAACCAAGCCAGGCGCGCCATTGCCTCTGGGTTCCCCACGGCACCTCTGTGTCCTTAGAGTGACTTTCTGACTTGGGCTGAAGCTCGGGGGTGGGGGTGGGGGGTCCCTTATCACTTCAGACTCCGGGGCCCAGGCACTAGACTGTCTTTTTAACCCCAGGCCTGCCTGGCTCTGCCAGGTGTGAGACTGGAATGGATTCGGTGACTTGTCCCGTCCAGGCAGCTCTGTACAAACGAACCTCCATGTTCCCTTGAGCAACTGCAATTCTCCTGAAGTCGTGGAGACTCCCCAGGATGTGGTGGGGCAGGATCTGGTTGCCGCTATAGAAACTCTCACGGGGGCCTGGGGAGAGGGGAGAGGAGGGGAAAGACAAGCTGCAGGGAGCGGATGTAAATGATTCCCGGGGGCCACTTTCTGACGGAGACCCCCCCTCCCGCCCCCGCTTTCTTTCAAGGCTGACCCACGAATTCAGAGACCGGCGGCGACGGGGCCGGGGCGGACATACCGGAGTAGTCCAGGGGCTTCGTGGTGGCATCTGGAGCGGCAGGGTGTGCTACAAAGTGGCAGACCTTCCTCCCAGGATCCTTGGGTTTGACTTTACGGATGAGAAATTTCTGGGTAATGTCAGATTTATCTGCTGTTTCAATAAAGCGAGGAATGTGTTGCTATAAAGAAACAAAACAGAGGAGAATTCCACTTGAGATCGGGAGGAGGAAACACACCCCGTCGCCTCTGTCCGCAGCCTTTGTGGAATTCCTGAAGGCGGACAAATCTGTTTCTCCCGCTCTGTCCATATGCTCTGTCGAGGAAAACGCCTCTGCAACAGACAAGAGACTTAATAATGTCTTCAAGGGGGGGAAATAACATTTTATGCCCTGGCTGGGTGGCTCAGTTGGTTGAGCATTGGCCCGTACACCTAAAGGTTGTGGGTTCGATTCCAGGTCAGGGCACATACCTAGGTTTCAGGTTTGATCCCCATTAGGGCATGTAGGAGAAGCAACCGATTGATGTATCTCTCTCTCTCTCCCCCTTCTTCTCTCTCTAAAATACATACATATATACATACATACATACATACATACATAAACATATCCTCTGGTTAGGATTTAAAAAACCCCAAAAACATTTTCTGCCTCCAGACCAGTGGTTCTCAACCTTCCTAATGCCGCAACCCTTAATACAGTTCCTCATGTTGTGGTGACCCCCAACCATAAAATTATTTTCGTTGCTACTTCATCACTATAATGTTGCTACTGTTATGAATCGTCATGTAAATATCTGATATGCAGGATGTATTTTCATTGTTACAAATTGAACATAATAGCGGTTTCCGTAGTGTAGTGGTTATCACGTTCGCCTCACAAATTGAACATAATGAAAGCACAGTGATGAATCACAAAAACAATATGTAATTATATATGTGTTTTCCGATGGTCTTAGGCGACCCCTGTGAAAGGGTCATTCGACCCCCAAAGGGGTCGCGACCCACAGGTTGAGAACCGCTGCTCCAGACAGTTCAGGTGAGAAGTGCCCGATTATTTCAGGTAAAGCCTGGGGTCAGGGAGTAGCAGGTTTACCCGCATTTGTGACTTTGCTCCTTAAACTCATTTTCCCGTCTGTGAAATGGGGATGATGGCTCTTGGCTCCGCGGGGAGCAAGACACCTCATTCTCTCGTTCCCCTGCGGTTCTATATTCTCAGGAATGCTCAGATAAACACAGTACATTCCTTTAGCTGCAGAAGTGGAAAAAGCATGGGTCCAGTGGATTTTTCCATGGAATCAGACCTGCCCTATGAGGAGGGAGGCGGTGGAGAGGGTGGACATGGTTAATGTTCTAGAACACACAGGCTGGGAGAGAAAAGCTCTTGCAGGAAGGGCTCCCTGGATTGCATCCTTACCTTCTTCAAGTTTTCCGTCTTAATGGCCAAGGCCAGAATGTCATCTCCTTGTAGGACATTGCTAACAGGCTCAGGTTCTTCCTGAATGGGGGGTGTGGACTGTTCAGGGATCTTTGCCCGCTGCTTCTTTTCTGAAGAGAAACAGGAGGTTACAAATGCTTCTAGATAGATATCCTCTAATAAAAGGCTAATGTGCAAATCGACTGAATGGCGGAATGACCGGTCGCTATGATGCGCACTGACCACCAGGGGGCTGATGCTCAATGCAGGAGCTGCCCCCTGGTGGTCAGTGCGCTCCCACAGCGGGAGCACCACTCAGCCAGAAGCCCTGAGCTGGACTCACAGGGAGCGGGACTAAGCCATTAGTCGGACATCCCCCAAGGGCTCCTAGACTGCGAGAGGGCACAGGCCGAGCTGAGGGACACCCCACCCAAGTGCACGAATTTCATGCACTGGGCCTCTAGTACTACTATATTAGGCCCCAAAGCGGGGAGGCAGAGCTGGCTACAGGCAGCAGAGGCTGCCAGGGACACTGGGCTGCACTTGCCTGGGGCAGTGGGAGTTCTTTCTCAAAGGCTCCCCTACCCATGGCCCTTGGCCTGCCTCACTGACTGAGGCTTCTTAGCTGGAATTGACATCAAAAGATGTCCTCACCCGCCCCCCCCCCCGCCCCCCCCCCCCAGGCTGTGCTACTTATAAGCTGGACAACCTTGGGTACCTCACTTAACCTCTCTTGACCTCGAGTCTTCCTTTCTGTAAAAAGAGGAAGCTGGACTCTAAATCAGTGGTTCCCAAATATTAGTCCAATGTCTTCCTCCGAATCTTCAGGTGAATTTTACAACTACAGCTTCCTGGCTCCTGCATGGAGCCAGGGCCTGGGGAGCTGGTTTTATAAAATTCTGTAGGTGGCTCAGATGCACAGTGGTTTGGGACACCTGGGCTAGATGCTGTCTCAGCCTCCTCCACTGCAAGCACTGATCCATTCTCATGGGTGAAGGCATTAGCTTTCTTTTTTTAATCCTCACCCAAGGATATTTTTCTATTGATTTTGAGAGAGAGAGAGTGGAAGAGAGAGGGAAAGACAGAGAGAAATACTGATGTGAGAGAAACACATCGATTAGTTGCCTCCTACACGAGCCCTGACCAGGACCTGGGCCGGGGAGGAGCCTGCAACCGAGGTATGTGCCCTTGACCGGAATCAAACCCAGGACCCTTCAGTCCACAGGCCGATGCTCTATCCACTGGGCCAAACCGGTGAAGGCGGCATCAGCCTTCTTTAAGGCATTGGTTCAAACACCGATGCTCTGGGGGGAACAGAACATCCATGGCTGACCATTTAATACACACTGTTTAAGTATTTTCTATGTACCAGGCTCTGGGAATATAAGGCTTCAAAGAGTACATACCCATGAAGACAAGGCTGTCAGGCTGAAACTATGGGAGCAGCCGGGGGTCCCCACCCAATTCTGGGGGTAGTCAAGGAGGGCTTCCTAATGAGGTGACGTTTAAATGGAGAAATGGAGGATGATGAGAACATAGACCAGGGGAAGGGTTTGGGGACCAGGCAGTCTACAGGAACTAGCAGGAAGAGGCCTAGAGGCAAGAGAGAATGGAGCACCCCTGGAACGCAAAGCATGTTTTTAAAATCGCTGGAGGGTAGCGAGGTGGGAGGGAGGAAGGCATGCCCAGAGAGGGACATAGGAGCCATATCACCAAGTGCTTAGTGAGCCGTGTAAAGGACCTCGCCCGGGGGGTCATGACGTAGCAAGGAATGGATTAGGGCAGTGGTTCTCAACCTCCCTAAGGCCGCGACCCTTTAATACAGTTCCTCATGTGGTGGTGACCCCCAACCATAAAATTGTTTTCATTGCTACTTCATCACTGTAATGTTGCTACTGTTAAGAATCGTCATGTAAATATCTGATATGCAGGATGTATTTTCATTGTTACAAATTGAACATAATGAAAGCATAGTGATGAATCACAAAAACAATATGTAATTATATATGTGTTTTCCGATGGTCTTAGGCGACCCCTGTGAAAGGGTCGTTCAACCCCCAAAGGGGTCGCGACCCACAGGTTTTTGAGAATTGCTGGATTAGGGGGTGCAAAACCGAGGACGAGGTTACTTAGGGGTCTACTGCAATCACGAAGCGGTTGATGATGACAGTGGCTCATGGAGCTGGAGAGATCTGAGCCTCTTTCTCTCAGGGGCCAGGCCGGAGCCCGGCATGGAGAACTCATGCCAGAAGCCAGTCCTTCTCCAAAGAGGACGCGCTCCCTGCCTTCCTCCCACAGAGGTGGGCTAACATGTCACATGCATCTCGTTTCTCTGGCTGGGTCCTCCTGTCTGCTGCCCTCTGGTCTAGAATGGTTTGCGGTAAGGCCTTCAGAAAATAATCAAAAGAAAACCCGAGTCCCGACCTCAGGGACCTGAAAACAGAACCGGGTTTTGTCCGCTGCTTCTCCCAGCACTCGCCGTTTTTTAAAAGACAATCTCGCTACAACATCAAAGTCAGCGTTTTGGTTACCAAAGTCAGAGTCTCTTTTTTTAGGAAATGCCCGCATAATTGGTGACAAAGCAGCACACATACAAGAAAACCTAAGCCAGAATCATTCCAAACATAACTCTCAGCTCTGCCCACGGGCCCGAGTCCATCTCCTCGGCCATGGGGTCGGCGGAAACTCGGCAGCATCGGCAGCTAAACCGCGTGGCTCTGGTCCCACCCACTGCCACGTGTGGGGGTGCCGCCTTGGGTTTTGATTTACAAAACCTATACAGTCACCAAAGTTTGTGGCAGCCCAAGAGAGAATTGGTACCAACGGAGGGTCTGCTTTTATAAATGTTATGGTGTTACTTCTCTTTTCCAGGACATCTGCTTCCTCTGCCCATCACCTTGGCTGGTTCTATGCCTTCCCAGGGGATTAAACATCTCCATCTCTGTGCTTGTTACTGGGGGGTGCCTAATGATTGTGTTTGAATGTATAAAACGTCACCATTGTTGAAGATTTCTGAAATATGGGGGGTGGGGGCAGCCGAGGAGAGGTCAATGGGGGGGAAAAGGAGACTTGTGTAATACTTTAAACAATAAAGAATTTAAAAAAACAGATTTCTGGAATAGTGGAACTCTGGTCAGAGGCTTATCTGAGAAGGTTCTCTTAATATACGGTCAGGAAATGGTGTGTTCTAGTTATACAAAATGTTGCAAGTCATACGTACATTTTAAACTTTCACTCACCCTGGAAAATATTTACCAAGTACCTTCTAGGAGGTGCTATGCAGTATGGAGAAGATGGTTTAAAAAAAAGGTTAAAATATGGTCCCTTCTGCTGAGAAACTGAAAAAGACACCAGACACTCGCACACACAAATCATAGCATAAGGGCCTAAAATTAGTGGCACAGATGATAATGGGTTTGGTTCCATGTCAAAGCGGGAACAGATGGATGTGGCTCATGCAGTTTAGGGCTCTAGCCAGAGGTTCGGGAGAGCAGCCGCAGGGGTCAGAGGGAGCTTCACAGGCTAAGTTCGGCCTTGAAGGACAGGAAGGCTTTGCAGGTGGAGCAGCAGACGGAGGTGTTCCAGGTGGGGTCACAGTTGGAGCCAAGGTGGAGGCGGGGCGGAGTATGGCATTTGTGAGGCGTGGTGACACCGAGGCTGGTGGAGGAGGTGGGAGTGAGACCGGGGACACCAGGCCATGGCGGCTTTTGTAAAGCAAAGCAGAAGCAGCTGCTCATCCTCTCTCGGCAGCAGGGAGAATGACATGAAAGCAGCATTTCAGAGTGATTCATCCGGTGAGGGTAAGCCAGAGGGACTCTCGGGGCAGAGGCAAGTTGGGGAGACCGGAGAGGAAGGACAACCCCACTGCAGTCACTTTAGGGCCTGCAGGAAGATGCTGAAGGGTCCAAGTGCGTCTCACGACTGACGGTGTAGACTAGAGGTCTCGCTGTTTCCTCTTCTCTGGTCTGGAAACCCAAGCTGAGTGGGGCTCCTGCTGAGTCACACAGCTGATCCTGACGTCAGCCCCCTGGAGTGGGGCAGTCAGGTGATACCTCTGCTGGGGCTAGACCAGGCAGCCGGAAGCAGGGTGCTCAGGTGGGGTAGGGAAGGCGTGGGCAGGGAGAGAGGCTAGCTGCAGAGGGAGGAGAAACCGGGTCTCCATCTTTCTGCTCCTTGTTTTATCTAAATGATGTTATTTTTTTGTATTGATGACAGTCTTCAGGGAATTCTGACCTCAGGGTTGTGCTGGGGAACCCAGGGAGAGGCCGTCCCTACCGGAGCAGAGCTTTACTTGATGGGAGAGGGGGACCTGGGAGAGTCCCCTGTGCCTTAGCAACAAGACCTGAAAGTCGAAAGGGCTGGGACCTCTAAACAGGTTTACAGTCACAATATTTGCTGCTTTTTGCTTATAATTCAGAGACCTTGGAGTAACCTAGCCACAAGATTACAAGGTTACACTTGGTTAGCTGTATTCTAATGGGGGGAGGGGGCCGTGGTTAGAGGCTTCCCCTGAGATATTTAGAGGAACTGAACACTTTGGCTTTATTCCCTCCCTCCTCATCCTGGTGCATATTATTAACCCAAAGGCTATCTAATAAACTCAACTTCCCCTCGTTAAAAATATGCAGTGAAAAATCTTTCCTTGATTTATTCAAATCTGATAAGATCTCCAGAGACTAGGTAAGTGGTAGCTAGAAAAGCCCTTGACTGCCCTTGGGAAAGGAGACCAGCTAGTCTTCTCTCTTCCTCTCTTAACTGCTAAAAAAGTGCATCGCGCCTTAGCCAGCTTGGCTCAGTGGATAGAGTGTTGGCCCTCGGACTGAAGGGTCTTGGGTTCGATTCCTGTCAAGGGCAAGTGCCTTGGCTGCAGGCTCCTCCCTGGCCCTGCTCGGGGCTCCTGCCAAGGCCGCCTGCAGGAGGCAACCAATTGATGTGTCTCCCTCACATCAATGTCTCTCTCTCTGTCTCTCCCCACTCTCTTTGAAAATCAACGGAAAAATATCCTCGGGTGAGGATTAACGCAACAACAAAAGATCGTATCGTGAAACAGCATCGAAATGCAGCCTAAATCGGGCTTTCGTACTATAAAGAAGCATTAAAGAAAGTCCCACTGAAAATCAGCTAAGCTCCTGTTGGTTTGACTCCAAGCCGACGGACCCCTCTCCTCACAGTGGGCTTTCATGGTCTGACGCACCTGCGCAGGCCCCTCTGGCTCCCTCCCCTCCTCCGCACCGGCCGGCTCTGCCCCGGCCACCAAGGCCGTACATGCACGTTCACAGTTCCGCGCCTCAGCTCACGCTGCTCCCTAGACCTGGAGAAGTAAAGTGCTCCTTTCTATTTTGTTTTTGGTTCGCCAGAAATGTCACCTTCTTCCAAAAACCTTCCCTCCTATGTCCACCACCCGAGGACCGGGTCAGGTGCTCTAAGCCACCGTAATGCCTACAGGTGCCTGTATTACAGCATTTCTAGTGCCTGGTTACTCCTCCGGGAGGCCACTGGAATCCATTTCTTGACGGCTGGGGCCACACAGTTAATACCTATACCTTTGTTGGCCAGCACAGTGCCCACTCCCATCAGGCCCTCCATAAATGGAAACCGAAAAAAAAAAAAGAAGAAAAAGAAAAAGATGGAAGGGAGGGTGAGTTGCAAATGGGAACATGTCCTTGGGGATCAGCCTGCTGTCAGGCACCCTGGGGCTCTCCCACCGGCACCCAGAGGGGAGCCGCAGAGGCCAGGAAGCTGTCATGTCTAGCGACTGTCTCCAGGTTAAACAAGCGGGCAGGTGTCACCCAGCACGCAGGTAGTGGGGAAAGGTAGTCGGAAAGAGAACTAGCCAAGTGAGCATTTCTTGGTTGCTTTCCAGCAGGGCTTTTAGGTGACACGGCCATTTCCCCCTGAGAATCCCACTGAGGTTGGTTGTTTGCCCACTTCACATGTTTCTTGCATTCCTCCCTGAATTTCTTTCCCCAAGGACCCCATGTCCTGTCTCTCCTCATCTTAAACTTCCCTGGCTCTTCTTCTCCCCCTCCCCCCCACCCAGATCTCCCCTTCTGCGTCCCATCCTAAGATATGGTTCCAGGTAGGGGTCTCCCATGCCTTCCTGCCCAAGGCCATCTCCCCAACAATTGATCCCCCACTTCCTATTTCCCCATCCTCAAAGCCCCAGGGCCCCGTGCTCCCTCCCTTGGGGGCGGGAGGGGTTCTCCGCCTTGTTCACCATCTCTTAAGGTATGGAGTACGCCTGGCCTCGTACCCCATTCCCCAGAGAGCTTTACCTCCATCCTGCTGCCACCCCCATCCTCCAGGCCCCATGTCGTGAATCCCGTCCAAGGACCCCTGCCCCTGCCGGGGCTCCTGAGCGCCCAAGGCAGCCAGCGCCAACCTTTCAAGCTCTCTGCAGCCTCCAAGAATTTGTTTGGAGTTATCCTGTGGCGGGATTCCTTCTTTAGAGACTTCATAGTGTCTGCCGGCCTGAGAGCTTGGTCCTACCCCGCGGGAACCCTGGATATGGTGACCAAGCAGCAGTCCCCGCGACCCCGCGACCCCTCGACCCCTCGACCCTGCGCGCGCCGGCCCAGCGGCCGCCGCCGCCGCCGCGTCCATAGCAACCAGCGCCCCGCGCGGGGGCGCGCACGCACCGAACAACTTGGGCGGAGACGGCTTGGGAGCTACCGGTTTCATCGGATCAGCTTCACGTGCCGCCACGGGCCGCTCCTCCTCTGCACGGGCCCGGCGTGGAACCCCCCGGGGCCCGACCGTGACGTCACAAGTGGCGTCCTGACATCACCAGCCAGGTGGGGCGAGGTGGGGCGGAGTGGGGCGAGGCCCCGGGAGCTGGGGGAGCCCGTCTGGGTGTTGTGGCTGCCAGCCCCTTCCCCAACTGCCCGGACTTCCGGCTTCGCTCTGCCCTTGCTCAGCCAAGACTGCATCCTTCCTTTCCCTCGTGCCGCAAACCCATGGAGGGCGCCCCTTGGATTCAGTTGCACCTGGTGACCTCCCTCCGCCCACGCTCGCTGCAGCCACTTTGGCCTTCCGCCGCTTCCCAAATCAGCCCATGTCCCCTCCCCCCCCCCCCCCCCCAGCGTAGGGGCCTTCACATAACTGCTGCTTTCAGTTCTTGACCCCCAATTTAAAACAGCCCCTCTGTTATCTCAACTTTATAATTGCACCCAATTCGTCCCGTCCCCCAGCCCCCTCCCCTTCCCCCTCCCCCATCCCCGAGCTTTAACACGTTCTGGGATTATTTTGTTTATGTGATTGCTGTTGTCAGGCTTGTTCTGAGAATGTAAACTCCATACAGCAGGGAAGCCTGTCCCTTGTGGCCACCCCAACCCAAAGTTTAGCCCAGAGATAACTCTGATGTGTGTGCTCAGGGCCTAGTGGTTAATCACAACCTGGAAAAGGCAGAGTGGACGTTAGGGGAGCCTTCTTCGAGGAGGGGCATTTGAGGTGGGCCCTAAACAGTTCAGCAGGCGGGTAGGGTGGCAGGCATTCCAGGGGAGGGCACAGCAGGAGCCAAGGCCCAGAGGAGATAAGACGCAAGTTCAAGATCGGGGGAGGGGGAGGCATCCTTTAGCCCCCATAGCTTTAGCCGTCTCCTCCCAGCTGGGCAGCAATGAGCAACCTCCTCCAGCCCCGACTGTTTCCTGCACTGGCTGCATCTTCCCTTTCCAGAGACAGACACCCTCTGAAGCCCCTGTTCTCAAACCCCTCACCGCTAGCTCATCCCCTTCACACCTGTCTCCCTCCTCCAGTTCATCCTGTCACTTCTGCCTCACCTCCACGTGCACACCTGGCCCTCTCCCCTATCGTCTGCATCCCACGCCCTACATCTGGCCACCCCCCCCCACGCCGCCCACACACACCTGGCTCACTCTCCACATCCAGTTCATTCCCCTCAATTCAGCCACCATCCCTTTTTTTTTGGCCTATTTTTATTCCTTTTATTAAAATAATCTTTGAACTTAGCACACTGTGGATACGCTGTGTGTCAGATCATTAGATAGCTCGTTCTGATTTTACACAATATGCAAAGCAGGGGGGCTTAAACCACAACTCTGGATTTGAATTTGGTCGTCCTGACCATTTTAGATTCTGTGTGATATGATACCAGGAAGTGAAGACAAAAACTATCTTGTTTCAGCCATTAATTTCAATAGCGTCTCTCGATTTCAGACAACACTGGTAAGGCAGCAAAAAGACGTGTGTGTTACTTTCTCATTGACCTTGCTCCTAAAAGATGAAAATGAAGAATATGTTGTGAATTTCCCTCCCGCGGAGATTAGTCTGTGGACCCGGGACCCGGACCCGGCCTGGACGCAGTTTGCGCCCGTGAGAGCCCTTCAGGCTTGCTTCAATGTCCTGAAGCCCCCGCCCCCTCCACCACCACCACGGGCTGGGTAAAGAGGGAGCTGCCTCTGTGAGGCCGCTGAGCCTTCGGTAAGGTGGTGCTCCTGCTGCCAGAGGGCAGGTTGGTGGGCTGCTGCACAAAGACGCTTGGGGTCGCAGAGTTGGGGGGTGGAGGGGAGGAGTGTGCGGGAGGCTCGTAGGTGTCCAGGTGCGCCCAACACGAGGCCTGGAGCTCTGCCTTGAGGGGTCCGTATAAGGGAGTGGGCGCAAGGGTAGAGGGACTCTTGCCAGCCCAGGGGCTGCCATGGAAAAGAGGAGATATATATATATATATATATACACACATACTAGAGGCCTGGTGCATGAAATTCATGCATGGGGGGGGGGTTGGGGGGGCCCTCAGTCTGGCCTGCACCCTCTCTAATCCAGGACCACTGGCTCCTAACCACTCATCTTCCTGCCTGCCTGATCGCCCCTAACCACTCTGCCTCAGCCCTTGCCACCGTGGCTTTGTCCAGAAGGACGTCCAGAAGACGTTTGGTCTATCTGGTCTAATTAGCATATTACCCTTTTATTCGTATAGATATTTGTATTGATTTCAGAGAGGAAGGGAGAGGGAGAGATAGAAACATCAATGATGAGAGAGGATCATCGATGGGCTGCCTCCTGCATGCCCCACCACTGGAGATTGAGCCCACAACCCCAGCATGTGCCCTGACTGGGAATCAAACCGGGACCTCCTCGTTCATAGGTTGGTGCTCAACCACTGAGCCACACCTGCTGGGCCCTGTTAAACAACCCATCCCGCCATTACCCTCTTTACTAGACACTTGCTCAGCTAACATGGAGCAGGAATCTTCCATTCTTCTTGGCCCTGGAGTCAGGCCACCGCTGGACACTGTTTCCAGGAAGACAGGACTTCAGCCTCAAGGATGAAATTGCTCTCATTCCCTTCCGGGGGTCACATAGAGTAGGGGTTAGGAGCTAGGGGACTTTGATGCAAAATGTGGGTTTGCATCTCAGCATTGCTGCTTCCTAGGCCATCTCCCTGTCCTTAGAGTTGGGACAATGCAAATCTCACAGAGTGGCCATCACCCTCTACTGTCTGTCTTGTCCTGCTTTGTGATGCTTAGCGTCTTTAGCCCATATTCCTGTATGGTCTGTCTTCCCCCCACGAACGCACAGGTTCTGGGGGAGCAGGGGCCTTGCCTGTCAGCCTCACGGCTGTACCCCAGTTCCTAGAATAGTAGCTGGTACACGTGGATCATTAATAACGGATGGGATGGAGAGAGGCCTGGAGGGTCAGTGGACTCATGGAGCTGCCCTCCAATATCTGGGGGGCAGGGAGGGAGGTTTGCTATACGACTTTCCTTAGAATCATGCCCAGCCAGCGTGGCTCAGTGGTTGAGCATTGAACTATGAACCAGGAGGTCACAGTTCGATTCCCGGTCAGGGCACATGCCTGGGTTGCGGGCTCTAGCCCCAGTATGGGGCGTGCAGGAGGCAGTCAATCAATGATTCGTTCTCATCGTTGATGTTTCTATCTCTCTCTCCCTCTCCCTTCTGAAATCAATAAAAATACATTTAAAAAAGAAAAAGAATCAGAGTGTCCTCCTGTTACAGGAGTTTCAGGACAGGCCCTGGGACCATCTGCCTGGGCTGCTGTTGAGGTCACGCCGAGATGGATGGATACTGAGTTCTGGGGTCTGTGCCCAGGCTCTCCATTAAAAGAAGGCTCTCTGCCTGTGTCCCTTCCTCCTTCCCTCCCTCCTTGTCCTGGTCAGGAGAAGGCTGCTTGCTGAGGGCAGAATCAAGGCCAAGGGAGCTGGCTCACCTGGGAGGCTCCTTCCTCTGGATTGTGGGGAGACCTGAGGAATTGCCCCGTTCCACCAGTGAGAACATTGTGCTAGTGGCACATGGCCTGGAACTGGGGGTGGTAGGGATGAGGTGGGAAGATGCTGAATTAAAAGCCCCGGTCCCTAGTCTCCATCTACCTGTGTAACCCAGGCACGGTGCTCCCTCCACCCCCAATCTCATCTACTTCCCTTACAGAATGGCCTCAACACCTCCGCCTTCATTGACTTCCCAGGATCAATGCAAGAAGGAAAAAAAAAAAAAAGTTGTGTCAGTACTCTGAAAACTGTACAGATGAAAGGGATCCTGGTTAAGGCCCAGAACACTCAAATCCACTAGATAATTTCTGAGGGCGGTAGGCAGAATAACAGCTGTCTAAAGATCTTTGCATCCTCATCGCCGGGAGCTGTGAATTTGTTGCCTTACGGAGCAAAAAAGAACTTTGCAGATGGGATTAAGGATTCTGAGATGGGAGATTATCCCGGATTATCCAGAGGGGCCCAATGTAATCACAAGGGTCCTTATGAGAGGGAGGCAGGGGGCTCAGAGTCAGGGGGAGCTGTGATGATGGAAGCAGAGGTCAGCGTGAGGTGGCCATGAGCCAAGAAATGCCGCAGGCTTTAGAAGCTGGGAAAGGCAATGAATGGATGCTTTCCTGGAGCCCCCGGAGGAATACAGCTCTGCTGGCACCTTGATTTTAGCCGTTTCAGACTTCCGGCCTCCAGAACTGTAAGGTTATATTTTTGTATTGTTCTAAGCCACTTAGTTTGTGGTAATGTGTTATGGCAGCAATAGGAAGGTACAGACAGGCATACACACTTTCAAGTCTGATTCTCCAACTCTCTTTTTCAATATTCCTTCTCAGTTGATGAAATCTTCTGACCTTACTGCGGTAGCTCAGGACTCCCATGTTGTTTTTTAATATATTCTTAAAAAATATGTTTGTATTGGTTTTTAGAGAAGGGGGGTGGGGAGAGAGAAGCATCGATGTGAAGAGAAACATTGATCTGTTTCCTCTTGTACTCACCTGACCTGGGATCGAACCTGCAACCTACTAGTAGGTATGTGCCCTGACCAGGAACTAAACCCGCAACTTTTTGGTGCACAGGATGACGCTCCACTCCACTGACCCACCCGGCCAGGGCTGCGTGGCAGTTTTTAAAACTTATTCGATATCGTTCACGAATGAATCTGAAGGGTCAGAGTGGGGCGAGGATCAGGAAGAGGGGCGTTCCCACAGCAAGTTCCTCAGCTGATCTAAAGCTCTGCCCACCTTGTCCCCCATCAGTGCTGCTAAGGCCCTTACTGAGGTCTCAATCACTAGAAGCAAAGCAAGTGAGACCCGTGTACGTCGGTCAAGTTCAAGGGTGGGGGAAGCCCTGGGCCGAGCCAGGGACAGCAGGAATGGCGCTAAGGAGACATCAGGTCGAGGGAAGGATGGGGAGCGAGGGCAGCAGGAAAGACCTAACCCGGAGGTTTGGGCAAAGGAAAGGCACCTACTAGGAGTGTGTCCCGGGTGCCAGGGTCTGGGAGGCAGGTGGAGGCGATCCCTCCACCGGAGGAATGGCGCCATTCCTGTCTGACCTGATGAGGGAGAGCAAGGTATGAGGAGTCACCTGCTGAGGTGGGTGCCGCTGTCTGGAGGCTGCCAGTCCGCCCTGTGGCACACACCCTCCCAGCTACCTGGGATGT